ACATAAAACTCTTTATTACACAGTAAGAATATTATGGTGGCCAAATACAAGACTAGAACTTAGTAAAGTAATGGAAGAAGTGAAGAAAAATAAAACACAAAGACAGTTTCTGGCTGAAAACTACGAGAGTATTTTGGGGGAAGATTCACTCTTCAGTTACCATTTCTAGGCTCTTTGCTTATGCATCTCCTACTACCTGCTGGCATAAGGAGCATCCTAGGTTGGACAGATTTTTGATTTGACACAGCTGTTCTTATGTAGTATGCAAATGCGGTGCCCCAATTAACATAGCATTATTTACGCAGAAATGCCTGGAGACCCGGGTGAAGAGGACTCTGTTAGTAATATGTCAGAAGACCTGCGGGTTGCAGATATAAAGAAAGTTTCTGACTCAGGTAAACTGAAAAGTTTTCTATTTTTTATATATCCCTAAATGTAGTAAGTTAAGATTAATTTCTAAAATAAGCCCACATTGTAATGACGGTTAGAAAATGCAGAGGCCTAAGAAACTTTTTAGCAGGAGATATCATCATAGTGATACCCATACTTTCATGCGGGCACACGTGCTTATTTACAGTGCCCTGCTAATGTTGATAAAAACAGTCTAGTAAGTAATCTTTTCAAAGATTCATGACCCAAGATGTAGAGGAGAAGAAACTACTGGTCTAAGCAAGTTGAATGCAATATGTATTACTGCATTTACTTTTACTTAAACTATGTCTTCCCAAGGATTAGAATTGTTCAGTCTCCTGTGCATAAACTAATACGACATTTTCTTTTTCACAATATAATGAGTATTTAATATAATTTTGTAAATGCTCATGTCAGGGCATGAAAACTTCATATAAGAGTATCACTACTAGCATTGGATATGAAGGTCATACACTCTTTACAAAGAAAGATGGTTTAAACCTGAAAACATAACTTTCAGGGGAAGTGGGAATTTATCATTCAGCTAGAGACATACATGAAAGTATCAAAGGCTGACAGACTTGACTCTCCACAACAAAGGACCTCGTGTTCTCTTTCAGTAGCATGAGGCAGAATATAGTCCAACTTTTAGGCATTAAGGAGTAGTCTTACAGAATTTAAAATGGTCTACCATGAACTTGACAGATGTTAATGTCAAGTTAAAAATCTTCTAACTGTAGATACTGTTCCAGAGAACTTGGCAGCTCTGCATATAATGAAGGAAACAGTGATGACAAGTAAGTAAAGACTTGGTTGATCATGAAAGTTAATTTGAAGTATACTGGACAGTAGTATTTTTGTTTTGCTGTTCAAGAGCAATTACATTTATTAATTGAAATTTACTAACAAAGAAATACACAACTTGCCTTTTACCAGATCACCCTGGGCACTCGAGGCATTCATTAGGGAAAAATAGGTTCTTATAAAAAGTGCATTGCCTGTAGGAACCTCTTTTTGAGAGACAAAATATATAAGAAATCATAAACAGTACTTTTTGGGATCCATTTGGGTCTACCTGTAAGATGCATCAAATTCCACTTCCCCCCATGAACAAGTAAAATGACTATGTATAGAAGTACAGTAGTAAGAGACTGTAATAATACTTAGGAAAACTAAACTAACACCTGACATAGTTTTCAACTGCCGGCAGCTAGGTAGTATTGTAACTGTTTGGATTCCAGTCTTCCAAACCACTTATTTAAGATAAAGTTAACTGAATACTTCAGTAGAGATCTGAGTACTCATTTTTGACACTTTAGGATTCTTTTAGGGTAAGTGTAGGTGTTAGACGTCTATAGCTTACCTTAGTTACCATTTCCCTTCTCAAATATATGCATTTTAACTGCATATTTTGGTTTTTTCTGGGTAATTGTAATTGCAATCTGATTTTCTGGGGAAAGATTAAAATATCAAGTGTTTCAGAAGTGTCTCTGGCTCAGCCTAGTTGTTCTGGAGACTATGGTTCAAATTTCTGTGGGGAAAAAGTGGCAGAAACACAGCTCTCCATCATAAAGAGATGCAGTTTCAGTTTCCAGAATTCTTTCCTTCATTCCCAAATGAACAGTACAGACTCAGATCATTTTATCACAGGTCGTAAAATCCACTTAGACTTCAATGTTATTAATGTTAACGTAAGTAGGTATTGCATAAAGCAGAGAAAAGAGGTATGCTTTTTACATTACAATATCATGGAGACCCTTTATGGTACATGCCTTTCCTAGACAGTACAAATAAATTTAAAGTGAGGAACTGGTAAGTAAAGAGATTGTATGGACCTCTGTATTAATAAATTTACTTGCTGATAAATAGTGAAACAGACAACTGGGCAGGGATATCATTATCACATTGGTTCTTTGACATCAGTAGATCTCTGACAATTGATAGCCTTCAGGATGTGACTTCTTAGTATCTAGTCGAAAGACAAATGCACCAGTTTCAGGAAAATACCTAGTTATTTGATGCTGCCTGGCAGTGTTTTTCTCCTCTGCCCAAACGAATTTGCTACTCAAAGAGTAGCAAATGGTAGCAAATGCCCACCTGAAAAGGAACATACAGGTAAATAAATCCTTGGGCGGTCTTCTGCAGACTGTTAACAGTGTACTGAAATGTCTCCGGCAGCATGGCCCTGGGGTCGCTTTCTCAGCAGATTGGCCAGCAGAGGGTGCAAGAACATCACAGCAATCAGAAACCCATTCCGTTTTTTGCAAAAGCAGCCTAGGGAAGGCTAGGGCCACTGTAAATTTTTCTCTTTTGTGATAAAAGATATACATATTATATAAATCTGGCAATAAAATCTTATTTAGTAATTTTGACTGATGTTTTCTATTTCATGGGATCACTTTTAAGGACAGCTAATTCCAGAAATCTGTTCAGAAGAGCAAATTGCTTCAGTTTGCACAGGCAGCAGTCAGTCGATTCAAACTCCATGTACATGTACATGTCAGACTTTACAGCATGACCACAGACTGCATATAGGTGTTTGATTAAATCTGAAGTGCCACGGGAAACAACAGGGGAGATGAAAACAAGATTCTAAAGAATGCCAGTAGCCTGATGGTTCTTAAAAAATATCTACAGCAAGTATTTTGCTTCAAACAAATTATTTTCCTTGTCATTATTAGGAATTTGTAGTGCCCTGCATACTTCACTATATGTCCCTCTCACAACAAATCTGGAGTAAGTCATGACGCTGCCAAGATACATTCCTAAGCAAGGGCTCTTTCAAAATTGGCTGTTTAAAGTCAGAGTCTTAAGTCAGTACATACTTGGGCACTGATGTTAGCTTCTTTTGAACGTTTACCGCTGTGTGCTTGGAATTTTAAAAGGTAGGGACGTAAAGTCAAAAGATAATGTTTTAATACGTATGCCTCAGGCTAGCATGGACTAGAGTGTTTCAGAAAAGTGGAAAACCAAAAGTTCTTGATTATTCACTGTCTTAGCCCAAGGCATACTCAGGCTGCTGACACAAACTCCTAACTGCATCAGAGCTGTCTGTATCCAGCCTCATAGACCTGCATGACAGAGACTGCAGCAACTTTGCAAGCTGTTGGAGAGTAAACATAGGCCATACACTGAAGATTTCCCCTAGCTTTGACATTTCCCTTTCCCCTTTTATACTATACAAGACACACATGAGAGTAAGGATTAGGAGTTACAAATCATCCCTCATGAGCCAGAAAACAGGATAAATAGTGATAGTGACAGAGTGCCAAAAGAGAACAGAGCTTGTATCAGTCTGAGTGGGTGAAAGGAAAGACTGCTATGGCATTGCTTTGTGAGCAATGCTTCAGACACAAAGTAGAGATTAAGCGTATTTGCTGGCAACTGTCTATAGCTTCACTAAACAATGCGGATGGAGCCACTGTGTTTTCTCCATGCCAGAAACTGTTGATGGTTTGTTCTGTTTGGCTTAGTCTTGCTCTCCTCATGCCCTCCCTCCAAAAACTCTGAAAGGTGGCTTAGAAAAAAAAGCCAGGCTTCCTACCCACATTCTTGGCTCACCAAGAAAAAAAAAAAAAAAGGCCCATGATGCTGGTCACATTGTAAAGATCATCTGATGCAAACAAGGCCATATTGATTTGAGGGGGTAATTTTTAATAAAATGGCTCTGGATTATGCTTTATTGCTCAATGTTTAGGGGCAATATTCTTGAATGGACTGAGAACAGGCTGGGAGCCAGAAACTGCTGTCATCGATCTGCAGTGTGGCCTTCAGCATTTAATCTCTGTACAGCAGTGTCCTCACCTGGAAATGAGATCGGAAAGACCGCTTGCATCATCCGCCTGTCCATCCGTCTGTCCCAGGGCAGAGGGGTGGGGTTCTCCCCTAAACACCAGAGGGCCAATGGCAGAGGAGTGGAGATCTCCTCCCTGCAGAGCAGAGCCCAGGGAAGCCTCTGTCACCATGCCGAGCCAGGGGCCCAGCTGTGTGTTGTAAACCCCCATGCAAGCCACAGCAGGGAGGATGCTCTGAGGACAGGCGTTTAGTACTTTGTTGTTATTGTGCAGGCAGGCAGCCTTGCAGATCAGTTATCTAGGCACAGCACCCTGATGCAATGTCAGGACCCTTGCCCCCTTTGAGGCTAATTCAGTGACTCATGGTATCAGGCGCTTGGGAGTCTTTCAATAATTTCTGTACAGACTGAAGCACCCCTTGCGAAAGTCACCATCTTGCCTGTTCTGCTGCATAGAGGTTCACCAGTTACTACATATCTTACAACTATGATCAGCAAACCATTCTACAAAATCTGATCCAGGTTTAAATAACTTTTAAACTTTTAAAGAGTTTTGCACATTTAATCAAGAAACTTATACTATGCAGCTGTTATGTGGTGTTCTGGATTTATTTTAATATGTAAGTGTATACGCTCTACTCTTAAGCCCACTACTGCAGAGAAATGGCAGCTTTAATGTAATAAGAGATTAAATCTTTAACAGTTATCAGTAATGGCTTTCTGAAGTTGGTGATTCTCAAAACATGAAACTCAAGACCTGTTAATAAGAACTCTGTAAATTATTTTTTTTTTACAGAAATCCTTGAAGATGAGGGGGACTTTACCAACTCCACCCCGGCAGCTCTGGAAGCTACACAAATAAAGAAGGAGGCGATTGACATAGGTAGGTCAAGACTGTGTCTTGATGGTTATAACAGCACATTCTGCTTTACTGGGAACTGCAGATTTCTAAGGTTCGTAGGTTATTCCTGCATATTATACTCATCCTGCTTCTAGTTTATGATAAAATCTGTGTTTTGTTTGATTTCATAGTACAAAAATATATAAACACTTATTTCTCCTTCTCCCAAGTAACAACAGGATCTTATTTTCTCAAACAACATACTCCTTATTACGCTAGATGTGATAAGTCTGCATTTGATTGTGACACAAATACTGTTCCTTTTCATACACAGTTGCTAAAGAAGATAAACTGGAGAACTAAATACCTGTCTCAGAAACATTTTATGCCTTGTCTGTCTTTTCAAACTATTTCATGACTGCATTTAATTTCAGACTATTCACTATCAAACAATTGCCATAAATATTCTGAATTATTTTACAAGTAAAACTGAAATCACAGCCTCAGCAATATGTAAAAGTCATACAATCAATGACAAGTAGTCAGGAGAAGATTTGTTTTATTAAAAACATCGAAATTTAACATTAGAACACAATAGGGATATTAATCTTCTGGAATTAATGAGCATAAAAACCATGGAAGGTAATGAAAAAAGGCATCAGAGGAAATAATGATGACATTGAAATCTATTGATCTGACATCCTGAATCAAAATACGCTTTACAGTACTATTGTTTGTACCCAGAATTTAATGCAAAGAATAAAAAATTCTATTATAATGATTCTGTGACCAGCAATTCTGTGTCCTTTTACACTGAAAGTTTATACCGTAAGAATATTTCTGTTGTATGCACCAGTATTTCTGTGATCCAGGAAAGGGCTTCCTTCTCAGCAATTACATTATGTAGAGTTTGGGTGCTGAGACACCCTATCCAACACAGCTTTTACAACAGTTTGCACAGGCTGATCTTGATTATGAAAGACAACTGTAAGGAGTGTGACACTGAGGACAACATCGGAGCAATGCCATCACAGCAATGACAAACAGAAACACCAGTTACACTGAGGATAAAGTAAAGCTGTGTCCCTGAAAGTTCAGAGACATAGCAAGGTCACACTAATGCAAGAGTTCATACACCATGACATAGAATAAAATGTCATGCAAATCAACTGACTGTCTTATACACACAAATTCCCTGTTCCTGTCATGTAATATCCAATTGATGCTAGTAATTACGCAAGTCAGCAGTACACAAATGCCATTGCCAAGGGCAGAAAGAGATCAGAGAGCCCATGTGGTTGAGAATATGAGCACATAAATGAAAGCCATGGGGTTTTTTGGTAATAGTTAAAAAAAAAAAATCGTTTAAGAACCCAGTAGTAGACTTACTGCTCCATTTTGGCCCAAGGTGTTATTTCCAATAGCTGCAAGTGTTAAAGGAAGATGCAAGAATTTTCTTAAGAGTTATGGAGTAGCCTACTTAGAAAAATCCTTTTTTTTCTAGTACTCCAAGTAAATCACATTCACATGCTTATAAGAGTATAATTTCTGATTCTAAGCTTTCCATAGGTATACAATTTATTCCTGCATATGGCTTATGAAAACAAGTATTTGCCAAATCACTTAAGAGAAAGCAAGTTATAAAGCAAATATGAATTCCAAATACTACTCTGTGCATATATTAGCATGTACCATTATAGAAAGCACATCAAATGAACCACTGCTTATTTGGCAACAGTCTCTTTTTTCTAACAGAGCCTAAACCATCCACTCAGGTTTTCAAAACATATAAGGAATATTTACTTTTACCCTTTACGGAAAACTGTATTGAAGATAGTTGGTCTGTGACATCCCCTACCAAAATGATGAGAAATAATCTTTCTCTCCCAGCCCAAAAAGTAATTCCACACAAAAGTGAGCTTTCAACCTCAGAGAAGTCCAAGTGTGAGGAAATGAGCCCAGAATCAGCAGAGCTGGGTTTTTATATCCATACATGATTTAAAGAATTCTGAGGCCTCCTGAATTTTACTTCTGAAGGGAATAGTTTTTATGCTGTTGAAGAGTGCAAAGCTATTATAGCTTCAGTTCTGCAGAGGGAAGAAAAACCTGGCATGTAGACATGAAGAGAAATAATACAATGATGCTTCTATCCTGTTAGTGATGGAATTTTAAAGAGAACTCAGATGCTGGTAGAATTAAAAATAGTTGTTCTGACTTCCCTTTTTTGTCATTTAACCCACGTGGAATAGTTTTGGATAGAACCATCCCTACATACAGAAAGTGAAATTTAAGCTGAAGCTAAAGATTTCCAAAGCATCAATGAATTGTGTGTTTTCCAGTTTTTCTTCTGCTTATGTTATTTCCATCAGAAAAGCTCCGTACCCAAAAGTAAATAAACACGGCTGTCTCGTAAAGGAAGGAAAATGTATGCAACCTTCCCCACAAAACCTAGTATGGCTTTGAAACCCACCATGGCAGCTTACTAAAATGGACTCTAAACACTTTTTTTTTTTCTTTTTTACTAAAAAGGAGTCCTGAATAGAAGAGAACAAGTAGGAATAAGGAGCAAAGGCATCTTTTAACTTTCTTTCTGTTGTACCAGGGAAACTCACAGAGATATGACAAAAGCCCCATCAGTGGTATGAAATGCATCTTATGCAAAATCACACTGCATGCAGGTCTGCCCACAAGTGCCTGTGCAGCTCACTCCTCCTCATTGCATCTGAATGACATGCACAGCTTCCAAACTCAAGAGGGGGACAATGGTCTTCTAGGTCCCAAGACCCTGCTCATTTCACAACAGCAGTAGGGGAGCATGCATGACCCTACGACGGGAAAGGCTGCAGTCCAAGCCCTGTTAGGCGTGAGTGAATCCACAGACGCGTGCCCTTACAAATGGCACCAATGCCTCACCAAGCCTGCCCTCCCTCCCACGTCGCCTAGGGAAAAAACTGGAAAGCACACCTGTGATAATCAGTGTGTATAAACATGTTATGCAAATCGACTTATATATATGTGAGATTCAAACCATCCACATATGCCTATGTGTTTAATCAATTATTTTAAATCTATGTTGCATCCATAGCTATCTTCTGGGGAATGTGGAGGCATAAAGAAAGGCAGGACTTAGGAGGAATGCCAATAAATAATTTGATTTAGGGAGGAATGTGGCAGAAGACTTCTTGTAACTAATGGGTTAGACTAATGGGTTATGACATTTTTAATCAAAGATAAGTGTTACCTGCAGAGGATGACAGTAATATTAGCAATATATGTCCAAGTCCAAGTCTATTTTATTTCAAACTATGTGTTTCTATAGATGATGATTCTATAAGCACTACCTCAGAAGACAGATCTTGTACGCCAGTAGCAAAACAGATGGTCGGGACAGGTGAGTATTAATTTCAGTGCATTTACTCTGAAACAAAATGGCATTGTAATTTCAGTACCAAAGCTGGAGCAACCAGATCTTTACTGTAAACACAGCTCTACTTTGCTATTCCTGACTCCAGTCTAGCTTTATCACTGAACTTAAAAATCAGTTTCATAGCTCTGTTCCCCGTCATGAGGAAAACTTGCATTAATACTGTAGTTCAACTTTGCATTCTATATTTACCTGATGAGCAGCATCTGCCTACTTCTGAATATGTAGGTAAGAGTTTTTTCTTCTATTGAATCCCCACTGGTATTTCCATTTGCATGATATTTTGCCTTGCCATTCTAATTTGAAAACATACTGGAACACTATTTTCTTATCAATGCTGATATCTTGCTGTTTTAAAGCTGAAGGTCTATTACTTTCCTGCATGTAGCACTTGGATACATTTGTCTTTAATTTGAGTACAACAATGGCAACAAAATTACACTGACAAAATGTGAAATTTAGATGCTTTGGAGAAAAAAGAGATTTCACTTGCTACCTATTTTGCATACTTAAGAGAAATGTAATCATGTATGGGTATTACCATTGTAAAGTTAAAAGATTTTCATAACAAAAGATTATTATAAGCATTAATTAATCTTTCAGCTTGTTACCAAATCATTAGCTACAATTACACTTTAATGTATGTATATTCAGCAATACTCAGTTGTTGTTTCATTTATATTTTCAGACAATCACATTCCCTTGGAAGAAGCACAAAATCACTTTAAAGTTATTACAGTTAATGATACTGGAGCAGGAAAACACTGGAGTGATAATGAAGTCAGAGCTCTGATAAACATATGGTCAGATGAAAAGATACAACAAATGCTTGAAGGTGCCACAAGAAATAAAGAAATATTTGAGGAAATTGCCAGAAGATTAATGAAACGTGGTATAGACAGAGACTGGAAACAATGTCGCACAAAGTACAAGAACCTAAAATATGAATACCGTGCACTGCAGAAGGAAAATGAGCATCTTGGTAATCCCAGGAGAAAAATGAGATTTTATGATGAAGTTGACTGTATTTTAAGAAGACAGCCTCTGGGTCCCTCAAGCTGGGGATGTGAAAGTTCAAGTCTCCTATCAGGTACTAAAAACTTCAGTGATGAAATAAAGCGCTTAAAATGAAACTTAAAAGTTGTCTGTTGACCCATGCTGTAGGGGTGAAATATGTGGCCAGAATAGGGAGGGAAAATAACTGAAGAACCTGTATCTCCATGGTCAAGTAGGCAATACTCAACAAATGGAAATGGTATTTGGAGGAGTTTAGAAGTGAGAACATAATAAAAAAGTGAAAGCACCTGAAGCATTAAATGTTATTGGAGAATCTTTGTGGTTTTGGAAGCTTAAGTGAGATACAGTGAAATGGTGCTAGAAAATGTGTCACGTTTTAGAAGTAATCAAAGAAGCATGTGAAGACTTATGGATAGAGAGCTGCAAGCCCGTACCATTTAGAAATGTAGAAATCTGTAACACTCAAGCCAAGTGCAAGGACTCCAAAAAAGCAAACTTCATTAATTCAATTCACACACAGTCAAGGAGAAAAATCCAGGGGAGTGATGTTTATTTGAGCACTTGTAATTATGATATTAATTTTGCTAAAGCAGAATCAGTTTTCCAGACAGAGTTTGCTTCTATTTTAGTATCAAAAGACCTCTGATCTAGGAACCGCACAGCTAACCTTGTGTCTGCTCTAAGAGTTCTCATGTCTGGCCAACTGCTCCAGGTCTCAGGGGCACCTGCCCCTGCTCCAAGCAGATCAGATGCTCTTGTAGAAGCAACTTAACCACTCAAGTTCAGAGCTTAGTGAGTTAAGGTAAACCAGAACTAATTCTGATTTTTCTCAATATGTTAGATCATAATTTGCAACATCACAAATGTTGGTTGAGGACTTGACCAATTTCTGCAGTAGAGGCCAGATGGACAGCTTGAGCAGAAACTGCTGGAACCATCCTTAAGCCAGCTGTCCTCACTCATGAATCAGCCCTAATGTGGTGTCCAAGGGCACCAAACGGTAGTGCCATTAGTTCAGGCTGGAATGACATCCCCACGGCCATGGGATGACACCACCACTTCTCACCTGCCTCATTCTTGTGCTTGATCATATATTTAAGACAGGTATTTTCTTCCAAATACAGAAACTGAAGATATTGCTGCTCATTTCTGACCTCTGAGAACAGAATTTGTCAGCATCAAGAATATTTGGGCCAACCTGGCTGTTTTACATTTTAGCATTCTAGAAAAGGACTGTGTAATCTGTACTGTGAATGCTGATGCAGGAGACTGTAAAACAATAACCTTTAAGAAAAGAAACTTTAGTTATTAAGCTGCTTGAGGCATATGCTAAATAAATGTGTCTCCACCATGATCCTGTGTGCCAACCCGGCACCTAAGTTTTCTAGAAGATTCTCATTGCTCCAGGTCACTTGTCCCAATGTGTTTGCTTTTGTAGTATAAAGCTTTTTGGTGTGTGACTGACTGTGCTTTGAGAATCTCTGCAAAATACTTAGTCACCTTGCTTTTCTCTTCTAAGTTTCAGTGGGAGATGGTCCAGCAAACACAGGATCCTTGGGTATCAAGAGAAAAACATGGAATGATGGTAAGAGCCCCTGACTTTTTAAAGCAACTATACACTGCTGTTGAATTGGATCCCACATTCTAGTTTCCAGTACTGAAACAGTTAAAAGAAAATCCTAGTACTTAACATCAAGCTCCAAACCAACATTTTTCCCACCCTCAACAACCTGCAAAAAAAAGTAGGCCTAAGGAAAACTGCAATTTCCTTATTTCAAGCCTCATCCCTGGTACCAATGAGGGAAACATCAGGAAATACTTCTTTGAGTTATAAGAATCAAGTGCAAGGAAAATATAAACATATTTTAGAAAGAAGATATGGTCTTAACTACCTGTGTTGCTCAGAGGAAAACAGGGACACTACCACAGTCATGGTTGTGGTTTCCTCATATTACACCATGTGTCAGTAAATGAGAGAAGAAATTATATGCTTACACGTATGTCTAATATGTAGTTGCTAACATGTAATGTCTAACATGGTGTGCAAGAGAATACAGGTTAAGACAGCTATTCCAAAGAGAAGATATGGTATAGAATCACTGAGAGAGAAAAATGAAGGGATGGATAGAAATATGCAGCATGCAATCTGAAATAGGAAAGGTAAGGAGCTTTATTTCTTCCTGGCAGAATTGTCAGGCCCTATATAATCAAGAAGTCCAACAATGAGGGATGACAAACTTAGTTTTTAGGAGGCTCCCCCCTATTTTTAATGGTAAAATGATGGCTTGTCTACAGACAGGTGAACACAAACAGATCTGAACACCACAACATTTACAGATTCAGCCTGCACAGTACACCACCACAGTCTGTACTAACAGGACTAACTCTATGTGCTTATAATACACTTTCATTTATTGCCTGTTAGATAAGTATGTCTTGCAGAAGGCAGTAGCTAGGCAAATCTGAAAGTTTCAAATGTGTGTGATTTTTACAAGGTCTGCTTCATTCCTACTCGCCATTATACAATGACTCCTTACACAACATCAGGAAATGCCTGCCAAAAGAGTGTAACAGAAGGACAGCATTAGGAAAATCCATCATGTGCTAATCTTCAGTGTCAGCAGTTCATTGACTTGTGCACTCTTAAGTACATACTTTTCTTTGTCCACAGAGGTGTCACCTGTTCCACTTAAGAAAAGTGCTTCTGAAAACACCATACTCCACTTCCAAAAACTATTAACAGAGAGAGTGCACACAGTAACAGAAGGCAAAAAGTTACTGTTAGAAAGACTTTGTAAGCAGGAAGAAATACAAGACCTCAACAGAACTCAGCTGTATGCTGATCCATCAGCCATACAACAGGTTGGTTTAATGAACTTTCTATGAAATTAGCATGCAAAGAGATTCTCTCAGCTAGTAAGAAATTAAATAGACTTATTTCTGAGTGTAGGTCACCCATATGAGTATATGGTTGCTCCCCTTTAATATATTCACCTTCAGTCATTTAAACTAAAACAAGGTAGGAGTTCCCATCGTAACCCCTAACTATGAGCTTTTAGCAGTGATGTCAGCCTAATAAAAGATACAGCTTCTGCCTACATGCCTTGGCTCACCTACATGGCACAATTAACAGGCTTAATTGAAAGAAAATAACACTTTGACTGATCAAAGAAAACATGTACAGTTAAAAGTTCATCTCATCATTTCCACTTACCATCTCTAGTACCTTCCTAGCAAGTTAGTCCTCTGCAATTAACCAAACAGTTGAAGCCACAAAATAACTTTTTTTTTTTTTGGTTAGGCAAGGCTGGTGGGGAAAACACAACACTTAATTCCTTTATGAGCATATACCCTCCTAGCTTTGCCACCTCCTCATGCTGGGGTGGACCATCTCCATCTGCCTGCTGAAGGTATGGTGCTGTGCAGCAGTGAACTGGAGAATTCAGTGAGCCAGAAGGAAAGTACACAAAGTTGATGCTCACCTAGAAGGGGCAGGCATGGGTTCTGGTCCCTGTTCTATACTGGACAAGGGGTCTGCCTTGTCCAGTAACCAAATGAAGTACAGAAGACACAGAAACAGTGCAGGGAACAATGACATTTGTCACATCCTAAGTGACAAGTGCCATGCCATAACTAACTGTTACTCTGCAAAACCGTACTAGGAACTACTTCATTTTGTGATTATATAAGTACTCTACAGCCTATAGTGCCTGCAAGGCATGCATTTCTAGAGTTTTCCTTTCAGTATATTCAAGTAGAACAACACATTTCTGAGTCTCAGTTACATTTGGGCATAGACCTGCACAGCCCTGCCCGAGCTAGGTCAGTTCTGGGCACACACAAGGGCATAGATGAAGTCAAAGTCAAGTCCTTACTGCAGTAGCAACAGCAGCCAGTTTTTTTTATACACAGAGGCCTAAATTCCACCCAAGTCCCCCTTCACAAAATCTTACACAAAAATATTACTGGATATAGTGCTTTATTTCCTGCTCTAAGGTTAATTATTTTTCTTGTTAATTCTTTTATGAGAGACATCAAGAAGGTAAATATTTCCACTAAGGTAGATTTTATCTGCCATTTGACTAGCATTTTTAAAACAATTCTGAGAAGTCAGAGAAAGATCCCTAGAAAATCATAGGTTTTTTCATCATATTCATTTATACAGTGACACGGACATATAGTTGTTCCAGTGCATGCTTATCTACCACTTTTCACATTTTACATTGGTTTCTCAGTATAAAGCTTCTTTAACTCGTAATACTAGTATCATCATTGGTTTAAAAATCTTTCTTCTTTCTTTGCAATGAGTTGGTTCAAAGATACATCCTTGAACTTGCATCTAGTTATAATACTTGCCTACAGAACTGCTGTCTTTGGTAGAACAAGGGATCTGTCCCTGCCATCACCACAGTCAGGGGTCCTTCTAGAACGTGCTGAGCCAGCTGAAGAACTCACCATTCCTAGCAGTACTAAAATCACAGGTTACTCCTTCCACATGTGAACCAGAAAAATGTGTGATCCAACTCTAATTAAGCAGTTTAGTTCAATTTAGATTTAAATTAAGTTTTAAAAATAACTGTACTGAAAATAACATGGATCACTTACATGTTCTGCTCTACCTGCTCTGTTCCATTAGTGGAAGGCTGAAGTTGCATAAAGCAGCTGAAGATGATTTGATAACTCATTGCAACAAGAAGATCCCCTTTTCTCGATATCTACTTTGAGCAGTCTGATGCTTGCTGGATCCCTTGTAAACCAGTTTCAGCTCACTAACCTGACACAAGACTAGCCCAGTTGGGAAAAAAAAAAGCAAATGGTTTTCTGTGTAATTAGTGAGTTGAAGCTGCCCAGCAAGTTCTCAGCTGTGCTAGCCCTAACTTTGAGCAGCTCAAAAGTTGTTTTTGTTTCAGTGAAACTGCCCTCACAGAAGAAAGGCTAACCTGAGGGAAGCAGTTAGCACTGCAAAGAAGACAAACTTAACTTCAAATTCAGAGTGATGCACAAGGATCCAAATTTTTCCAAAACTTTGCTATCATTCAGTACAATTTCCCAAAAAAACCTTTCTCTTCTTCCAGAAAATAAAAAATAAAGACTTATTTTATGCAGTAAAGTAAGCAGACCTTGCTTACAAGTGGCTTTCCAAGTAAAAGGTTTTTTTTCTCAGAAAACATGCCTGCACTGTCCAGAGAGTGTGATTTACCTGGCAAACAAATGTGCAAAGAAGATGGACTACCCTTTGTGTGGGATTCCACTTCTGTTCTGCTTTGTGGCAGCAAAGCACAGCTTGCTTTTTGTAATTGTTTGGTCAGAAAGCTATCTTCTTTCCTGCTGTTCACATTTAGTTTTCAGACAAAGATGTCAAGTGCATGGGGCATTTGGCATCATCCAGTATTTAAGTGCTGCTCCCATTTATACAGATAATAATTTATTTGAATATGTAAGATGCTGAGATAGATAATCAAAGTAGCACCAAGACAACCTTTCTTCACTGCAGTTGTAGTTATGATTCCACATCACTTTTTCCTTAGAGGCAAAAGAACATGAACGTTGCAAATTTAGAATTACGGTTGTCTAGAGCTGCCTCCTTTTGACAGCATCTCCAGGAGTAGTAACACTGGGCTAAATCGAATGTTGCTAAAGTGAAAGTTTTCTCAAAAGAAGTCACTTCAAAAATAGCATTAATTAATTAATTAATACAACTCATCCTTCCAGTGTATTTTTATATCCTTTTATATCAGGGTTTTGGGAGGAGAGGCCTTCTTAGACATAGATCCACAACATGGTTCCTTTTTAGCAGAAAGGCGAGAACAAGTTGTTTCAATGTAACTGCTCCTGTGAATCTTAATGTAAATTACATCATGAAAATGATCCAGCTTAAAAATCAAAACCAAGTAAGGATAGCAAAAGCAGCAATTGAATAAAAAACAGAGAACTTTGCTCTTCTCCCTCCTCAAATATCTGTGCTATTGCCAGAGGCCCATACAGAATACTGGAGTGTAACTCTCCTCCCCAGTTTGCAAATGGAAATACTGACATTTTTGAGATGTGGCAAATAAATGGAGAAGTAGAAAGTGCCAGTCTTCTCTAAAGCAAGCTTATTCATTGAGATGAATGGCTCACTTTACACATCTTTGATAGTGCTGTTACCCTGAAGAGTCCTCTGAATGCCTCATTTAGATTATTTCCGGGTAGGGGTAGACCAAACTATAGAATGCATGGAGAATGAGCTTCAGGGAGCAGAGATGCTTGCATTTTTGGTGATCCACAAGCACTATCAGCATCAGTGGTGGCTTAAAAGACTCTCCCTCCAGACTCTCACCCTTTGTTCCTTCTCTGGCAGCAAGGTCTCCTTTGCGTTGGCACAAGCACTCATGTGGCCAAGTGGTTAACCAACTTACGGGGCTGATTTTAAACTTACCTAATAAAAAGCTCCTCCAAACCACCCTGTTTTTTTAAGTTCAAGGAAGGTAGTGTAGGACACAGCAGAAAGAGCAGCCAGGACAGTTTATTTGAACTGAACTACTCCCCATGAACCTCCCATGCTGTGTACAAACCTCCCTCCATGCATTAGGCTCAAATTTAAGGTATGGGCAGAGAAGCCAAAAGAGTAATCCTGTGAAAATTACTGAAGAGTTGTATCATGCCTACATGGATGACTTAACTACAGTCAATGTGAAGAAAAAGGAAGTCTCATTCCAGCTCTATGGCTAGGTTAATGTAATGGCGTCTGTTGGTCACAATAAACACAATGGCCATTTGTGAAACATCCTCTTGTATGTCCATTTTGGCACCACTTCCCTCCTGGTTTTTCCAGTCCTTCTTATGTTCCCTCATTCCAGTTGGTTACTCCACATCCAGAGATAAGAGCTGAGACTGACCTGCATTTTGTTACATATACATCGAAGAGATTTGAACTTGGTTATAGACTGGAAATCTGACCTATCTTCACTTTCTGAAAAGAAGCATGCAGGAACCTGAGCCTTGCAGGAAGTTATGTAAAACAACTGAGCAGACAGAACAGCTCACCACAGCAAAAAGGTCTTGCTCTTCCTCTCTTCCTGCAGGAGTAAGCTTTGTGGCATGTAATTAAACTGGGCTGTCAGCACCTAGCAGCACAGAATGGCCTATAGATGTAAACCAAGACAGAACAAAAAGATAAAGTGTTACTATATCTACATTCAGTGTCTCTGAAAGTACTCAGGAATGTTTTACCAGCACATAACCAGCTATATGCTGGTAAAACAGCATACAGACTCAATCACTAGCTAGACAAACATCATAGCATTCAGAAAGTTAAAACATGTAACACTGCAGTTCTTGCATCTGGGGATAGAGAATCTGCTGACCCACTAATGGGTCCTTGAGATGAAATGAAGACGTAAATATGTTACATACCAAATTATCAGGATCATGACCTGTAGCATATCCATGTTCCTCAAAAAATTCCCATCCAACTACTATTGTAATTTCAAGCTTTTTGCTTGAAAGATTCACAAGGTAAGACAGGACACCAATAGCTTGCTAAATAGCCTTTTAAAAAAATCTATCTTGTAGCAAAGAGGTTGTATATAAAATGTAGATAAACACTTTCATTATACTATATTGAGTGTAGCTATTTGGTAGGATGGCTAATAGGAAGCAACCAGTAATTTTACTAGATTGAAAGAGAAGTAAAAATTCTTAACTTACATTGGTGATTATTTGTGTTCTGTTGTGTGGGTTTTAATAGTGGACAGTAACAACGAAGGTATCAAAAAAGCATGCTGGCCAAGCCTCCACTCTCCATTTACTTTGACTCTCATAACAAATTCCATACACAGACCAAGCTGAGTTGGGACAAGGGGTATTCCCTGACTTCATAGGCCTTCCACCTGCATAGAAGAGGCCTGTTAAAGACCTTTTCTAAACATCAGTACCAAGCTGGATACAGTCAGGTTTCAGTACACAGTATTACTGCCAAAAATATTTTCCAGAGAATTTTGCAAAAAGTTAACAGAAATCACACTTGTTCCAAGATTGCCTTTGCAAATTTGTCCTGGTCAAGGACTCAGATGACGTTTAAGAGATTTGTACCTGAAAGTACTCCTCCT